CGTGTCGTCTGGACTACGCTGCCAGTCTTGTTGCTGAGTCTGCTGAGTCTGCGTCTGCGTCTGCCTGTCCTCCGTCCGTCGGGGGTGACTGTGCTCTTGGCACGGACGTCCTTGAGGACAGGCACGAGGAGTTCCAGTGCTTTGCCGCCGCTTTGCCCCATCTCGTGTCCATGCTTGTTGCCCCTGAGGGAGACCCGGATGCTCTAGACATCCCGACCCCACGCTCTTACGCAGAGGCGATGGCCGGTCCCTACTCCTCTCAGTGGCAGTCAGCCATGGACGCAGAGATGGCTTCCTGGAAGTCCACAGGCACCTACGTTGACGCTGTTCCCCCTCCTGGGGCGAACATTGTCAGTGGCATGTGGATCTTCAGGGTGAAGCGGCCGCCGGGTTCTCCGCCTGTCTTCAAGGCGCGCTACGTGGCTCGTGGCTGCAGTCAGCGACAGGGAGTTGACTTCTTTCAGACCTTCTCCCCGACCCCGGAGATGACCACTCTTCGGGTTCTACTGCACGTCGCTGCTCAGCGTGACTACGAGCTACACTCTCTTGACTTCAGCACTGCTTTCCTGCAGGGCCGCCTGCACGAGGAGATCTGGCTGCGCCGCCCTCCTGGCTTCACTGGGTCGTTCCCTCCTGGTACCCAGTGGAGCCTCCGGCGGCCAGTCTACGGTCTCCGCCAGGCGCCGCGTGAGTGGCACGACACACTGAGGACTACACTTGCGGCTCTTGGGTTTGCTCCTTCTACTGCTGACCCGTCGCTGTTTCTGCGCACTGACACCTCGCTGCCGGCGTTCTACATCCTCGTGTACGTCGACGACTTGGTCTTTGCCACTGCGGACACTGCCGCACTCGCCCACGTGAAGTCCGAGCTGCAGAAGAGACACACGTGCACAGACCTGGGTGAACTGACAAGCTATCTTGGCTTGCGGATCACCCGGGACAGAGCACGCCGCACCATTACCCTGACTCAGTCACACATGGTGCAGCAGGTCCTTCAGCGCTTCGGCTTCACGTACTCCTCGCCTCAGTCCACTCCTCTGCCTACGGGACACTCGCTCTCAGCTCTGCCTTCGGATGAGTCCGTAGAGTCGAGTGGTCCGTATCCAGAGCTTGTGGGCTGCCTCATGTACCTGATGACTTGCACTCGACCTGACCTCGCATACCCTCTCAGCATCTTAGCACGCTATGTTGCTCCCGGCCATCACCGGAAGGAGCACATGGATGCAGCTAAGAGGGTGTTGCGCTACTTGTGCAGTACGTCGGGCATGGGGCTAGTGCTTGGAGGGCGTGAGTGGCCTGTGCTCACTGGGCACTCAGACGCTTCTTGGGCTGACGACCAGGCTACTCAGAGGTCGTCTCAGGGTTACACCTTCAGTCTTGGCTCTGGCTCTGTCTCTTGGCGCTCTACTCGCTCTTCTTCGGTTCTCAGCTCGAGCTGTGAGGCTGAGATCTACGCCACGGCCATGGCTGCCCAGGAGCTTCGCTGGCTCACCTACCTGCTGACTAACCTTGGAGAGCGGCCTCGTTCTCCTCCAGTGCTGTACGTCGACAACAAGGCAACCATTGCCTTGTGTGAGGAGCACAGACTGGAGCACAGGACGAAGCACATTGCTCTGCGCTACTTCCTTGCTCGAGAGCTGCAGCAGCGTGGTCAGCTTCGCCTGCCTTTCGTGGCCACTGAGGCCAACACGACTGATGTGTTCACCAAGGCACTTCCGCCTCGTGACCATCAGCGCTTTTGCACTCTGCTAGGCCTTGTGCCCACTGGGCCTCACTTGCTTACCTCTTGACCTTGCTTGTACTGCTGCATATATATATCCTTGCTCTTGCTTGTTTAGCACTGTTATATATATATGCTCTGCTGCATGTGAACTGGCCTTGTGGCCTTGACCTTGTGCTCGGAATTTGTGTGGTATCCTTGAGATCCACCCTGAGCTTGCTTTGCTTTGCTTTGCTTTGCTTGACTGGTCTTGTGACCCCTTGCTCTCCCCCACTTTGCCTATGGGGGTGTGTCAGATGATTATATTACTGATGCATATATTTAGGCTGTAGTGGGGTAGCCCATAGGGGGTACAACCCAATTAGGGTTGGTACTTGTACTTGTTTCATTTCATAGTGAACTCATTCCTCGCCTCTATCTCAACAGTCGATACACATGCGAAAACCCCCGTCTTTTTTCGGTGTGAACAGTATCGGTGCGGTAAACGGTGACGAGCTCGATCGGATGATTTTTTTCTCTAACAGGTAATCTAACTGCTTCCTTAGTTCGTCGAGCTCGGGCTGTGTTAGTCTGAACTGGCGCTGTACTGTTGGCTGTTCCCCCAGTTCTAATTCTATGCGGTGGTCATGTGCTTGCTGAGGTGGTAGTCCTTCAGTTAAGTCGTCCGGAAAACTCCCGGGGTATCGTTTCAACAGTTCATGTAGTTCGGGCGGTACTGCTGCTAATAGTTTCTGGAAATCGCTCGGCTGCTCTGCTTCTTCTACTACGGCAATGTCCACTGCGTACACGTCAGCTCCCGCGGCGACTGCCCGTTTCATCGAGATGGCGTTGACGTGGACCGTTGAAGACTCAGGTGACCGCCAGCGAGGTAGTTCAATCTAGTTACCACTACTTCGCACAGTGCAGCTTCCTGCCGTCCAGTCAATTCTCGGGTTGTATCGTCGCAGCCAATCACGTCCCAGTAAAATGTCGTGCCCATCCAGTGTCGTTGCGAGCATTTCCTGTGTAAACCCAAAGTTTTCCCCGCAGCGAACTTTTACTCTTTCCACCTTCTCCCGTATGGCCAGCGGCGTGCCGTCAACTAAGCGTGCGTCGATCTCAGGTAAACAACGGCTAAGTGTCAGTTGCAGTTTCTGTGCGGTTGCGGTATTGACTAAACTGTGACTGGCTCCTCCGTCGATAAAAATCTTCGGCAATCCGTCGCTGTACCCTCCTTATTCGTCCGAGTCCGATCGATAGCATGAATCGGTACTGTGACTCGGTGAGGGTCGGTGGGGTTGGGCGAGCAGGTAGTCTCGTCAGTAGTTGGCCCGGTTCCTACTGGCTGCTGGCGTTTCCCTGCCTTGGAGACTCCCTCCCCTGCTCTGCTCCGCGGCGCCTTAGCTCCTCTGGGCATTCACTCTTGCGATGGCCCGGCCTATTGCAAGCAAAGCAGCGCCCCTTAAATGGCGCGGTAGCTGCGTTCGTCGCAACGGCGTGTACCGTGGCGTGCTCGGTCGGTCCCCGAGGACGATGTCCATAGTAGGACCCCGGTCTCGGACGGCGTAAAAGGTCAATTTTCTCGGCGAGCGCGAGAATCTCGTTGAAGTTCGAGAGCCCGCGTAGCATAATTTCGTGCGAGATGTCCGGCTTCAGCCCTCCAACATAACGGACCTGCTCGCATAATGCGAGAAAACCACTCGTATAGTCTTGAACTGACCCGAGCTGCCGCCAAGTGCGCAATCTTTGACGCGCCGAAATAGAAGCCGCGATCGGCTCGAAACGCGCCCGAAGCCCTGCGCACCACGCATCCCACGTGCTGTATTGGGCGGTCTCGCAGAATGAACTCCAGGTGACAGCTGGACCCGTGGGCCCTTCCTCTTGCGACGGTGGCTCGTAGGCGCGTGGAGACGTCACGATGACTCGCCACCCGTCCATGGCGGGGCCCTTTAGCAGCGAAACGGCATAACGAATCTTCGTTGCGTCCGACCTGACGTAATTCGCGTCGAAGAAGACGTTCATCGTGAAGACCCACGATTGAACCGTCGGACCTCCACGCTGGCTCGGGTCGAAGCAGGGCGGGCGTTGCGGCTTGAGTGGCATTGGTGCCATAATGGCCTGTTCACCACTTGTCGCCGCGAACTCCACGTGCCGACGGGCTTCGCGAGGTTCCCGCGGGCTTGGCGCGACCCTGTTTCCTCCCATGCCAGGCATCGGCTGGGTGGTGCCATCACTGGCTGCGCCTGGGCGCTGTCCCATGCTGTTGTTTTGTGTTGGTGTGCCGGACGAAATGACGATCGGCTCGTCCGATTGTGCAGATGCATTTGTCGGTGCGTGTGGCGGCGCTGGAGTGTTCACCGTTGATTGCTGACGCGCGGAGTCACGTTCCGCCGTGAGCGTCGCAATCTCGAGCGCCGAATCTTCAAGTTGGCGCACCAGACGGTCGAGCTGCTCTTGCGTTAATGTTGCGAGCGTGAATTCGGCCATGGCGGGGGTGTCGGGCGAGCTCAGCGAGAGCCCTCGGTCGTGGCCGTGCGTGCTTACGAGAGAGCACTACGAGCGGCGGTGTTGTGTCGCTGAGAGACGTCTAAACCCCCCCAAAAATTGAGATAGTGGGGAAGCGAAGGTGTGGGTGCGGTCCGAGAAGAGATCGTAGGCTCTGAATACCAAGTCTCACGAGTGCAATTGAGTGAATGAACGAGAATTGCACTATCGAAGCAAGAATCCAATGAGCGAAGGCATGAGCGAAGAATATATAGCGAAACTAGAGTGGTAACGGTAATGGACTGTGGTTGTCGCGCGACGGGCCTGGGACTGAGGTTGGGGAAAATGTCGAAGCGGAGGCCCGGAGTGCGGGTTACCCGCCGAGCCGTGAGGTCGGGGTGCGACGTGCGAAGGTGGCGGGAGGATTGTCGATGCGAGAGTCGCGAGTGGTAACGGTGCTGACTGAGGTGCTACAGTGGTGTACGGGCTGAGCGGGGACGCGGAGTAAGGAAAAGGAATTTTCCTTACACTATCTCACATGTGCTACTCATCCCCCATTCCACTACCCAACTCTGACATGATATCATTTGTACAGTGGTCAAAAAACATGGGAAAGTGCAACGTTACAGGCAAATCAACCTGGCAGTCAGTTAAAACTGTATGTATATTACCTAAATAATACTCGTTTAGTACCTATGGTACTTCTTCCCCTAAAGTAGCCTTACATACTGGTTTTACAATGCACTAATTCGTGCATTGGAATATGGCTGACATGACATCACAAGCCCTAGTGGTAAGACTACAACGAATCTAGAGCTTACATGGCATTCAGGTTCTGCTTCTCCAATCGTTCCCTCTCCACAATGTGTGTGTAAACCAGCTCGTTCCACGTGTCTGGAACTCCCGGTAAGCACCAATGAAGGCAGTCTTGTCCCTTGGGCGTATTGGATCGGGGATCCCAGATGGCTGGGTGCGCATCACCACGGTAGGCTGACAAGTGCGTGATGTTCAACAGGTGTACTGATGTTCCCAACACTCCATCCTCCTTTTCAGCGTCCCTCGTTGTCATATTGGCCACCTCCACATCCCCTAAGGGATGCTGCACGTGCAATGGTAAAAATAATAAAAAATAAAACCATACAAACAACCACCAGGGATACGTGAGGCAACGTATGAATGTGGCCAAATCATCACAAACCGAATGAATATGCACGAACATTCGGTATAGAAAGATCAAATCTTTACAAAAACACTGTCACTACATACCTTGAGATGGTCGCATCGCCCTCCCGAGTCCCACTCCCCCTCCATAAAATGCCTCGGCGTTATCGATCGCAGGAACACCATTGGCTTCGTGTCTGGCGTTGCAAAAATCGCCGTCCTCAACTTCGCACCCCCACCCGCCGCAAAAGCTGGAAGCTCCACAGCAGTGCCCAAACTCCGCCTCAATCCTTCCCCTCCTCCCTCTCCCTCTCCCTCCTCTCCTCCCTCCCCTTCTCCTTCTCCTGGCTTCACCAGCAAACCTCCCTCTTCCCCGCTCCCCTTCAGCTGCTCATCAATCCACACAGACACCGACCGGATCGCCGTTTTCAGCGCCAGTGCCATGACCATCGGCCGTTTTCTCACCGGCGGCGCCTTGCTACCATTCAGGAAGAACTCCAGCGCGCTCTCTTTCATCTTGCCCCGGTTCCAGTGATGCCCTGTGTTCAGAACGACGACGTCCAGCTCCTTAAGGAAGTCTCTTAGAAAAGTGTCAGGCCGGTCTAAGTGCATCGCCTGGCCCTTCTTCCAATCCTCCTTATTGAACGGCTCGATTTCGCATAAACACGTCGTCCAGCGGAAAATCACTGTAGTGTTATATTTCACAAATCTGTATGCCCAACCGGTCGGGCGGCGGGCCCTGGGCAGCTGAAAGAAACCGTAATCAGGGCCCACGTCTTGGATGGGGGATGAAGGGTCGGACATGTTTTTGGGCGGGCCTTTTGGGGAGAGAAGGCAGAGCAGCGACTGGAACTGCTGCTGGCCTAACGAGTCCCCCACAAAGGCAAGGCTCTTGTTCCGCATCCTGCCAAGGGGATGGGGGGGGGGTGGGGAACGGTTGGGAAAGAAGCAGGAAGGCATGAACAGGGTCTCGAGTAAGAGTAAGAGCTACAGGAAGGGCAGCGCCTGTAACTGCTGCTGGCCCAGGGAGTGCCCCGCAAAGGCAAGGCTCTTGTCGCACATTCTGAGAGGTGGGCATCAAGGAGGAAAGGGGAAACGGTCTAGGGTAAAGAGCTACAGGCCGAGCAGCGACCGGAACTGCTGCTGGTCTAGCGAGTCCCCCACAAAGGCGATGCGCTTGTTGCGAATTCTGACAGGAAACAACCCCAAGCTAACTTCCGATTGCACCTTTGCCCTCCTGCCCCATTCCCCCTTTGTACTCCTGCCCCATTCCCCCTTTGTCCTCCTGCCCCATTCCCCCTTTGTACTCCTGCCCCATTCCCCCTTTGTACTCATGCCCCATTCCCCCTTTGTACTCCTGCCCCATCCCCCCTTAGTACTCCTGCCCCATTCCCCCTTTGTACTCCTGCGCCATTCCACCTCTGTACTCCTGCCCCATTCCCCCTTTGTACTCCTGCCCCATTCCCCCTTTGTACTCCTGCCCCATTCCACCTCTGCACTCCTGCCCCATTCCCCTCACGACCTGAAGAAACCCATTGAGGAGTCTCGAAGAGTTTATTTATCAACTCAAAAACCGTCCCACCTCCAGAAGTTGGGTTTTACTCGACTAAAAAATCGTCCCACCTCCTGAATTTGAGTTTTACTCGACCAATTTCGTCCCACCTCCTGAATTTGAGTTTTACTCGACTAAAAAACTGTCTCACCTCCCCGATTTCTTTTTCTTTGGCCACTCAAAAGCCGTCTCACCTCCTGATATTTCCGTTTTAGTCGACCCAATACACGTCTGACCTCCTGAATTAATTTTTTAACCGACTCAAAAATCGTATCTCTTCCTGAAGAACCCTGCCGCGCTGAACCGCTTTGCACCACACCTGCCCGGCTGCCGTCCCAGGCGCTCGTACTTGCACGTACAAGCCAATCACACCACCCAGTTCTACCCCCATGCCCCCTCACCTGCGGAAAAAGCCATCCGCGCTGAACCGCTTCGCATTACACCCGCGCGGCTGCCAGCGCAGGCGCTCGTACTGGCGCATCTCGCGCGGGCGGTTGCTGCGCGCGCACGCCCAGTTGAGCGAAATCCACTTGCACTTCTTCCCCGAGTACAGCGCGCGCTGCCGCGCACGCACCCACCGCCCCTGATACAGGTCGCAGAGCGGGGCAGCGGGGACGGCGGGGACGGCGGAGGAGGTGTAGGGGGCGGAGGTGGCGACGGGGGAGGAGGCGGAGGAAGGGGAGGAGGGGGAGGAGGAGGAGGAACTGTGAGTAGAATCAGATGGGACGGAGGAAGAAGAGGGATCGCTGCTGCTGCTTCTAACGCTAGTGCTGCTGCCGGCAGTGGAAAAGGCTTCATTCGAGCCCTCTAAAACGACCTCCTTCATTTCATTACCCCCTCCTTTGCCACCTCCACTCATCTCCTCTCCCCCCTTATCCACCCCACTTTCGAGACTATCACTGGCTTCAGTATCACCCGTACCACCGTCCCCACCGCTTGCATCGCTTCCGTTATTGTCACCGCCGCTGAAATCACCAGCTTCGCTTCCGCCGATTTTTTCCCCAGGCGGACTCGCTAACCCTTCTCTCAAACCGCTAGCTAGAACCAATACCGAGTCTGCTCTTAGAGGAGACCGAGCCGACTGCTCCACTCCAGCCTCGCTATTCGACCCCCCTTGTTGGCTACGAAGGGAATTCCCGTGATTGTATGCGGACGAACTGTGACTATAAGAAGATGAGGAGATGGATGCGTTTTCTAGAATCACGAGTTGGTTTCTTCTCCACCCTGCAATAAGGTGGCCCAGATGGCGGTGAGGGATGGGGGAGAGGGATGGGGAGAGGGATGGGGAGAGGGATGGGGAGAGGGATGAGGGAGGAAGGAATAAGAGGGAGGAAGCAGAGGGATGGGGAAGAGAGGGGGAGGAAGGGATGAGGGAGGGGAAGGAAGGAGATGGATGAGGAAGGGGGATGAGAGGGAGGGATGAAGGATGAGAGAGGAAGGAGAGGGATGAGAGAGAGGGATGAAGGAGTGGGATGAAAAAGAGGGATGAAGGAGAGGAAGGAAGGAGAGGGAGGAAGTAGAGGGATGAGGGAGAGAGGAGGAGGCGGACGGAACATTTCGAGGGCGAAGTAGATCGAGCATGTGTGACGCGAGAGGAGAGAAGAGGCGAGCGAAAAGGAGTGAGCGTGAAGGGGGGGGTTATGGACGAGAGAGAGAGATGGAAGAGAAAAGTGGAGGGTAGTGGTGAGGAGACAACTGATTCTAGCTCACAACTTAGTTACCTGAAGTTACGAAATCAGACACAGTTGATACTTCACAACGAGGATTACTCAGCGGTTTATGAATGTGCTCAGCCCATACGTAAGCAGGGAGGCGTGCATATGCATAGATAATAAAGCAGCTCGATACGCCTGCTGAGCAACTCACCCTTGGTCCGATGGTTGGCGTGAAACGACTCCCACGTCATAATGCCCACTATCGTTAGAAGCACCAGCGCCGCCGACCACATCGCGTGCCACCGAGCTCCTCCGCAGAAATTGGCGCCGACTGCCTTTCCACCGCCCATGACCGCCGCCAGGGCCGCGAGGGAGCGAGATCGGGATCGGGTGGGAGGGGTGCTGACAGGTGAGCCGCTGGGAACATTCCCGCTGGCTGCAGCAGGACAAGAATTACACGGAGCACGCAGGAACGGATTATGAGGATGCGGAGCGAGAAGCAGGGCTTTCCATCAGAAAGGCTTTCCCCAAGGCGTTTTTTGAGTTTAAAGTAAACGCCGGCAGGAAGTAGGGATTTCCAGTAGAGAGGCTTACACCAACGAACGAGGAAGAAACGATAGATCGCACTACCGTACCTGAATCGCAACGTTCTTAATCCACACCGTGCGACCGTACCTGACGGCCGTCGCGTGTGCGCAACTCCCGGAGCCTCGGTAGGAGCCGACGACACCGACACTGATAGCGCCGTCGGCCGCGATCGCGCCGACGAGACCGCCTCCATTTTCTCGCCTCCTGAAGCAATCTCGATCGCCACCGACACTGATATCGCCGCCGGGCGCGATCGGCAACGGAATGAGTTTGCTGCTGATCAATAGAAGTAGGTAACGAGGAGGCTATTTTTGAGTCGACTCAAAAACGGTCGCGATCGGCAACAGAATGAGTTTGCTGCTGATCTATAGTAGTAGGTGACGAGGAGGCTACTACTAGCGATGATGAGTTCCGGTGAAGATGAGCTAGAAGACAAAGCTGATGATTCAGCCGGAACTACCGATGCACCAAAGTTTTTCAATACTAGGCCATGAGAACCTCTTATTATCTCCCAAAGCGACGCCACCCTGGATGCGTCTAGGCAAAAACCCGCTGAAAGCGAGTGGCTTGCGAGAGTCACGACAATATCGCAAACTTTACTGAAGTTCTCGAGGTGAAAACACAACTGAGCGAAAGTGCTTTCCCTGACCTCCAACAATCTCGATCCTGTCCTGTCCCTACTAGACCCCGCAGAACCCAAGACCAGCAAGCTTGGCGTCGCAGAGTCATCACAGCACAGCACTCACGAATCTCCCAAGGTCTGGCGAAATGAAAAATCCTTCGGCTGGAGGCTACAAGAGCCGAAGTGGCGATTATAGCGACCTGGCAGCCGCCGCGACAAAGTGGCCTCCCTCTCTGTTCAGGTTCGCGAACGTCGCCATGAGAATTTTGTCAAACGAAGATGTCGTTCGCGACGTTGACAGACAGTTCCGACCAGCATGCGCTTCGGCAGTTCCTGGCACTGACGGTTCGGCAGCGACATGTGTGATGGCATACACCTGCCTGCGCGGAAAGGCTGCTGTGACAGAGTCCGTGTCGCTCGCAGACTGCGACAGGCACAGAGCTGTGGAGTTATCGCATCGCATCATTGGCAAGGTTCAGCGCCTTTGATGTGAAACTTGTAACGCGAAAAACCAATTAGTAGATGCTAAAGTGAATTACAATGTACAGTTGATATTTTCAGTCACACTATGGGTATAGGGTTCGTCGTTTTTGCTACTTGCTTGTCTACTGCAAGATGGACTTCCATATTCATAAACCACAGATCGGTTCATCTTGCCTCGCACTAGCCTTCCAAAACCTGTTTCACACGTGAGGAGCCTAGCTAATGGGATATCCTTACATTGCTCGTATTGGAGTGTCCTTAAAACATGGGGTCCAAGAGTTTCTATGTTAGGAAGGTTGCTAGGGGCAAGAAATGTGACTGCCTCGCGAACCAAAGTGTTGTCGAAAGGTATGAAAACTTCGCGAGTCTAACCAATTCTAGAATGCGAAGTCAAAATTCGTTCGCAAATATTTTCGGATGAGTGCAAAAGCTGCTTACGAAATTGTCATATAGCAGATGAATGAAACATTGAATACACTTCCGATGAAACATAGAATACATTAATTTTGAATGATGAGACTTTTGTTTTAAGACACTGAAATTTCAGCCTTCTTCCTATACCAAGTCTGAGATTTTCAGACTAAAACAGTGTACTAGTCTGACGAATCAGACATGCCAAAAACGAATCTGAGGGCCTGCCCTTGACCTCAACTCAATAGCAGAGTGAATGTAAATGCTTGAGATAATAAAAAACATGAATAAATATAAATAAGAGTACAAGGAATATAAATAAGAGTACAAGGGAATTCGAAACGACCTAGCTAGCCATGTACTCTAAGGGGTACATTCCCTAATTGCATCGAAATCCAACCGTGCGACTCCGGGTGGTTACGAAATAGTTCGGGTAGAATCCTCGCCACTGCTGCTGCCTGATGCTGTTTGCCCGACGGTCCAGATGCTTCTCGTAACCGTGTCGCCCTTCGCGTCACTTGCGCCCTTTCATCTTCAGTCTCGGTAGTGCATGCTGCGCTTGCTCCGGTGAGGGGTGCACAATAGAATTTTAGTAATTACTATTCGTAACACCCCCCTTCACTCCTGGCCGTAGCATGTCTTGACCCGCTTGACTACTCCGCTGAGCTTGGAGCAGTGCTGATACTGCTGACGCGGCAGTTTCTTCGTGAGGAAATCTGCTGCCATGTCGCTCGTCGGGCAGTAGGTTAAGTCAACCTTGCCCTTATCAACTTCGTCATTGACGAAGAAGTACCGCAGTGCGATGTGTTTGGTGCGGTTGACAAATCCGGGTTTGTTCGCGATCCTGATCGCACTTAAGTTGTCGCAGTGCAGGCGAAAGTTCGCTGAGGCAGGAATTTTCGCCTCCTGCAGCAGCTCCTGAAGGTAGAGGCCTTCGCGAACGACTGCTGTTGCTGCAATGAACTCGGCTTCCGCTGATGACAGGGCAACCAGCTCCTACTTCTGTGAGTTCCAGGAAATGGGGCCACTGGGCTCGAGGCGAAAGAGAAAACCTGTCCTAGACTGTTGATTGTCGCGATCAGCGACACGATCTGCGTCCACGTGGCCGACGAGACTAAAGGATGCGGTTGGGATGGTGGAGTAGCAGAGCCCAACATTGGGCGTAGAGATGAAGAACTGAAGGGCTCGCTGAAGATCTGAGAGATTCTCAGCCGTTGGTTTGCGTGAGTACTGAGCCAACTGGCTCGCGATGTAGGAAAGGTCGGGCCTGCATGATAAGAAACGAGGAATGAATGCATTGAGCAGAATGAGGAGTACAAGTAGTAAACCCTAAAGTGTTACACCCCATATGAACTGCCCCACTACAGCCTACACAGACTATAGCATATATGCCTGACACACCCACATAGGCAAAGTGGGGGAGAACAAGGGGTCACAAGACCAGTCAAGCAAAGCAAAGCAAGCTCAGGGTGGATCACAACGTCACCACACAATCCAAGCACAAGAGCAAGGCCACAAGGCCAGTTCACATGCAAGATCATATATATGAAGGTAAACAAGCAAGTGCAGGTATAGAAAGAGTACAGTACAAACAAGGTCAAGAAGTGAGCAAGTGAGGCCAAGTAGGCACAAGACCTAGCATAGCACAGAAGCGCTGATGATCACAAGGCGGAAGGGCCTTGGTAAAGATATCAGCAGTGTTGGCCTCGGAGGCCACGTAGGAGAGCCAGAGCTGACCACGCTGCTTCAACTCACAAGCGAGGAAGTAGCGAAGAGCAATGTGCTTCGTTCTGTGCTCCAGTCTGTGCTCCCGACACAAGGCCGGCATGGCCTTGTAGTCTACACACAGAACTGGAGGAGAACGAGGCGGCTCTCCTAGGTCAGTCAGCAGATAGGTGAGCCAACGTAGCTCCTGTGCAGCCATGGCCCCCGCGTAGATCTCAGCCTCACAGCTGGAGGTGAGAACAGAAGACGAGCGGGTAGACCGCCACAAACCAGAGCCGGAGCCAAGGCTGAAGGTGTAACCCTGTAACGACCGCTGTATCGGCTGGTCGTCAGCCCAAGAAGCGTCTGCGTGACCTGTGAGGACCACTTGACGTCGCCCTCCAAGCACTAGCCCCATGCCCGGCGTACTGCACACGTAGCGCAACACCCTCTTCGCTGCAGCCATGTGCTCTGGTCGGTGTCTCCCAGGAGCAACATAGCGTGCCAAGATGCTAAGAGGGTATGCAAGGTCAGGTCGTGTGCAGGTCATCAGGTACATGAGGCAGCCAACAAGCTCTGGGTACGGGCCACTCGGCTCTACGGACTCATCCGAAGGCAGAGCTGAGAGCGAGTGGCGAGTAGACAGAGGAGTGGCCCGAGGCGAGGAGTACGTGAACTTGAAGCGCTGAAGGACCTGCTGCACCATGTGTGACTGAGTCAGGGTAATGGTGCGGCGTGCTCTGTCTCGGGTGATCTGCAAGCCAAGGTAGCTGCGCAGTTCACCCAGGTCTGTGCACGTGTGTCTCTTCTGCAGCTCCGACTTCACGTGGGCGAGAGCCTCAGTGTCAGCAGTGGCAAAGACCAAGTCGTTGACGTACACGAGGATGTAGAACGGTGGCAGCGAAGTGTTGGTGCGTAGAAACAACGACGGGTCAGCAGTAGAAGGAGCAAGCCCAAGTGCCGCAAGAGTAGTCCTCAGTGTGTCGTGCCACTCACGTGGTGCCTGGCGGAGACCGTAGACCGGCCGCCGGAGGCTCCACTGGGTACCAGGAGGAAACGACCCAGTGAAGCCAGGAGGGCGGCGCAACTAGATCTCCTCGTGCAGACTGCCCTGCAAGAAAGTTGTGCTGAAGTCAAGAGTGTGAAGCTCGTAGTCACGCTGAGCAGCAACGTGCAGTAGTACATGAAGAGTGGTCATCTTCGGGGTGGCGGAGAAGGTCTGAAAGAAGTCTACTCCCTCTCGCTGACTGAAGCCTCGAGCCACGTAACGCGCCTTGAAGACAGGCGGAGAACCCGGCGGCCGCTTCACCCTGAAAATCCACATGCCACTGACGATGTTCGCCCCAGGTGGGGGAACCTCGTTGACGTAGGTGCCTGTGGACTTCCAGGAAGTCATCTCTGCATCCATGGCTGACTGCCAGTGAGAGGAGTAGGGACCCTCGATCGCCTCAGCGTACGATCGAGGAGTCGGGATGTCTGGTGCATCCGGGTCTCCCTCAGGGGCGATCGGCGTGGACACAAGATGAGGCAAAGCAGCAGCAAAACACTGGAACTCCTCCTGCCTGTCCTCAAGGACGTCCGTGCTAAGAGCACACCCACCCCCGACGGACGGAGGACAGACAGACTCGGACTCAGCAACAAGACTAGTGGCGTAGTCTAGACGACAGCGAGCAGCGAAGTCGACAAGCTCAGCCACTAAGGCAGACGTAGCAGTGGACTCAAAGGAAGGGTCAGTGACAACAGTGGCCAGGAGATGCGTGATAGTAGGACTGGCAGCACGAACAGAGTCAGACTCCGGGTCAGCAAGCACAGGAAGAGAGAACTTTGGAGGGGACGGCAACGGGACACGCAGAGGAGCTGTGGAAGGACGCAGTGCCATCTGGTGTGTGCCTGGGACCGCAAGAGGACGCGGAGCACGACGACTAGTGCGAGTAGCACGAACAGGCGACGCAGGACGAGACGCAGGCTCACGACGCTTAGCAAGACCTCCAGTAGGACCAGTGTAGGGAGAAGGAGCAGGTAGAGGGGAGGCGGGCTGTAACTGTGACTGCGATTGGACAGGCTGTGGACACTCTAAGGGAGGAGCAGGACCAGTAGAAGGCGGGAGACCAAGAACCTGCTCAAGGAGCGGAACGAAGTACGGCCGCGGTCGCGCAGCGCCTCCAGAACCAGCAGGGACAGCACCAGTACCCCCAGCGGCAGCACCAGCGCCAGCAGCACCTCCAGCTCCAATAGTGCCAACTCCAGCACCCTCAGACGCACCAGTGCCAGCAGAACCACTAGCGTCAACACCCCAAGCAGTTCCAGCTCCAGCAGCTCCAGCAGCACCAACTCCAGGAGGACCGGCAGCTCTAGTACCGCCAGCAGCTCTAGCAGGACCAACTCCAGCAGCCCCAGCAGCACCCCCAGGCCCAGCAGCTCCAGCACCTCCAGTACGAGCACCTCCGGGACCAGGAGCAAGAGTAGTACCTCCAGCTCCAGCAGCACGGCTCTAGCGCCGGGCAAACCACTCGCGCAGCCCCTGTGGAGAGAGTGGCTCCCGCCTCGACGAAGCACCGCCGGCGGCCACACGAGCAGACCCAGCGCCCCCAGGCTCCGCACCCCGAGGCTCCGCACCCCCAGGCTCCGCACCCCCAGGCTCAGCACCTCAAGACTCAGCACCCCCAGACTCAGCACCTCCAGGCGGAGCACCCCCAGGCTCAGCACCCCCATACTCGGCACCCGCACGCTCAGCACCTCTAGCAGCAGCAGAGTCAATAGCTACCTTGACAGGCTCGACTGCGTCTACTTGGGACACACCTGACGGGGCAGGTCCCTGAGGGGGGAGGGGGTCTACCGGGGGAGGACCTGGTGCAAGGAAGAGCGGCGGCGGGGGAAGGGGCATGGCGCAGTAGGGGAAGAGACGGTAGTAAGGCACCGACTCGTCAAAGGTGACGTCCTGGGAGGACAGAACACGGCGCGAGGTGGGGTGGTAAAACTGCCAACCAGGCGCGTCAGGGGGGAAGCCAAGGAAGACGCAGGGAATAGCACGGGGGGACAGCTTGTCCGCAGACAAGTCGCGGACAAACGCCCGAGATCCCCAGACCCGAAACGCAGACGCATTGCAACGCAGTTGTACCCCATATGAATTGCCCCACTACAGCCTACACAGACTATAGCATATATGCCTGACACTGCAAGTAACAGATGCAAAGAGCAGGCACCCCAACTGCTGCTGGTAGGTGTGAAGTCCGGCAGGGGACAGGGCTTTGCTGTCAGGTTTGTGGTTGGGTCCTGGAGTGCGGTAAGGGGTGGAGAGTGGTGCAGGTGAAATGTTGAAGCGCTTTCTTAGCTCCTCTGCATATTTCGCTGCTGAGAGATGAATGGCTTCCGGCGAGTAGGTGATGTTGAGCCTGAGAAACTGCTTCACGTCATGGTTGCAGGTGATGTTGACGCGCCCTGCGAGACTTTTCTCAAATTGCTCAAGCAATTCGTTGCTTGACCCTGTGTAGAGGAGGTCGTCAACGTAGACCGTGAGTAGGATGTATTCGCCGCGGAAATCGCGGCGATACATCCCAGGGTCGTGAAGCAGCTGCTTGAACCCGATTTCAAGCAGTATGTTGTGCAGGTACTCTGCCAGAGTCTTGGCGCCTGTTTAATCCCATAAAGGGACTTGCGTAGCTGACAGATACGTGGGTCCCCGTCACCGTATGTGTGCGGCTGCTCTACGTAGATCACTGCATCTACTAACGCGTATAGGAACGCGTTTTTCACATCAATCTGTCGTAGCGGCAGGTGTCGCGCGGCTACGATGGCGAGGAGAATTCAGACGGACGTGTGATAGCTAACCAGTGCGAACGTCTGGTCGAAGTCGATTCCATGCCTTTGATTGTAGCCTCGCACCACCAAGCGTGCCTTGAATCGCTCGATTGTCCCGTCAGCTCCTGTCTTCACGCGGAAGACCCATTTGCCGTAGAGAATTCTTCTCCCCTTTACTACCGCACGGTCGACGAGCACCCAGGTGTCGCGTGACTCGAGTGCCCGGATTTCCGCATCCATTGCTTCGCACCACTCCTTGCTGTGTAGGCCTGTGAGGGCTTGCCGTGGGTTTTTAGGCTCGATGATGCGCGGAGCCGTGGAGATGGCAGCGTGAAGTCCCAGAAGCTGAAGGCCAATGACGGTGCTGTCGTGGAGATGTTGAGTGACGACTTTGTCAGAATGAGAAGTGTATGAACTATGAAAAGATGGAGTACAAGTAGTGAACCCTAGTTTTGTGTACCCCCTAAAGGCTAACCCACTATAGCCTACACAACAACAACACATATAGTGTTTGACACACCCCCATAGGCAAAGTGGGGGAGAGCAAGGGGTCACAAGACCAGTCAAGAAAGACAAGCAAGCTTAGGGTGGATCACGACGTCACCACACATTCCGAACACAAGCAAAGGGCCGTATGGCCAGTACACATGTAGAAGTATATATGTAGTACAAACAACAAGGGTGATCTCAGCCTTGCAGAGCAAACAGGCAGGAGTATATATAGAGATCACAGAACAGGCAAAGCCTACAACAAGTGAGGAAAAGTGGGCACCAGCCCCAGCAAAGTACAGAAGCGCTGATGATCACCAGGCTGAAGTGCCTTGGTGAATATATCAGCGGTGTTGGCCTGAGAGGCCATGTAACGCAGACGAAGCTGACAACACTGCTGTAGCTCTCGAGCAAGGAAGTAACGGAGAGCAATTTGCTTCGTTCTGTGCTCCAGTCTGTGCTCCTCACACAAAGCAATGGAAGCCTTGTTATCGACGTACAGCACTGGAGGAGAACTAGGCCTCTCTCCAAGGTCGGTCAGCAGGTAGGTGAGCCAGCGTAACTCCTGTGCAGCCATGGCTGTGGCGTAGATCTCAGCCTCACAACTGGAGCTGAGAACTGAAGACGAACGTGTAGAGCACCACGAAACTGAACCAGAACCAAGGCTGAAGGTGTAACCCTGTGACGACTACTGAGTAGCCTGGTCGTCAACCCAAGAAGCGTCTGAGTGCCCAGTGAGAACAACTGAGCTCCCTCCTCCAAGCATGAGCCCCATGCCCGATGTACTGCACAAGTAGCGCAACACCCTCTTTGCAGCATCCCAGTGCACCTTTCGGTGCCTGCCAGGAGCTACGTAGCGGGCCAGAAGGCCAAGAGGGTATGCTAGGTCAGGACGAGTGCAAGTCATCAGGTACATGAGGCAACCAACTAGCTCTGGGTAAGGACCACTCGACTCTACGGACTCATCCGAAGGCAGAGCTGAGAGCGAGTGACCTACAGCCAGAAGAGTGGCCTGTGCTGAGGACCAGGTGAAGCCGAAGCGCTGAAGGACCTGCTGCACCATGTGTGACTGAGTCAGGGTAATGGTGCGGCGTGCTCTGTCTCGGGTGATCTGCAAGCCAAGGTAGCTGCGCAGTTCACCCAGGTCTGTGCACGTGTGTCTCTTCTGCAGCTCCGACTTCACGTGGGCGAGAGCCTCAGTGTCAGCAGTGGCAAAGACCAAGTCGTCGACGTACACGAGGATGTAGAACGGTGGCAGCGAAGTGTTGGTGCGTAGAAACAGCGACGGGTCAGCAGTAGAAGGAGCAAACCCAAGTGCCGCAAGAGTAGTCCTCAGTGTGTCGTTCCACTCACGTGGTGCCTGGCGGAGACTGTAGACCGGCCGCCGGAGGCTCCACTGGGTACCAGGAGGAAACGACCCAGTGAAGCCAGGAGGGCGGCGCAGCCAGATCTCCTCATGCAGACTGCCCTGCAAGAAAGTTATGCTGAAGTCAAGAGTGTGAAGCTCGTAGTCACGCTGAGCAGCAACGTGCAGTAGTACATGAAGAGTGGTCATCTTCGGGGTGGCGGAGAAGGTCTGAAAGAAGTCTACTCCCTCTCGCTGACTGAAGCCTCGAGCAACGTAACGAGCCTTGAAGACAGGCGGAGAACCCGGCGGCCGCTTCACCCTGAAAATCCACATGCCACTGACGATGTTCGCCCCAGGTGGGGGAACCTCGTCGACGTAGGTGCCTTTGGACTTCCAGGAAGCCATCTCTGCGTCCATGGCTAACTGCCACTGTGAGGAGTAGGGACCCTCGGTCGCCTCAGCGTAGGATCGAGGAGTCGGGATGTCTGGTGCATCCGGGTCTCCCTCAGGGGCAATCAGCATGGACACGAGATGGGGCGCAGCGGTTGCAAGACACTCAAGGTCCTCCTGTCTGTCCTCAAGGACGTCCGTGCCTAGAGCACACTCACCCCCGACGGACGGAGGACAAACAGACTCAGAAACAAGACTGGCAGCGTAGTCTAGACGACAGCGAGCAGCAAAGTCGACAAGCTCAACAACTAGGGCATACGTAGCAGCAGACTCAAAGGAAGGGTCAGTGACAGCAGTGGCCAGCGTGACAATAGGACTGGCAGCACGAACGGAGTCAGACTCCGGGTCAGCAAGGGCAAGAAGAGAGGACGGGGGAGGAGACGACAGAGGGACACGCTGTGGAGTAGTGGAGGGACGCAGTGACATCCGGTGTGTGCCAGGGACAGGTGGTGGACGCTCACGTTGAACACGGCGACTAGCACAAGGAGTACGAACAGGTGACGACGGACGGGACACAGGCGACACAGGACGAGACTTAGGCTCACGACGCTCTGTAAGACCGCCTGTAGGACCAGTGTAGGGGGTAGGACCAGGAAGCGGCGAGGCAGGCGGTAGCTGTGACTGCGACTGGACAGGCGGAGGACACTCTACGTAGGGGGGAGGACTAGGAGGAGGCGGCTGACCAAGAACCTGCTGAAGGAGTGGAACAAAGTACGGCCGCGGCCGTGAAGTGCCCCCAGCAGTAGTAGGGACAGCACCAGAACCTCCAGCAGCTCCAGCAGACCCTCCAGCAGCTCCAGCAGCACCTCCAGCACCTCTAGTGCCTCCAGCGGCTCCAGCAGAACCGTCTGCACCTCCAGCAGCACCAGCAGCACCGTCAGGAGCCCAAGGACCTCCAACAGCGGTAGCGTCTCCAGCGGGCGGTACCTCACCACCAGGAGCTCCACCCCGGAGGCTGCAGCGCCGAGCGTACCACTCACGTAGCCGCTGAGGGGAGGGAGGCTCCGGCTGCGACACGGCACCCGCAGGACGACTAGCCCCAGCTCCAGCAGACCCCCCAGCTCCAGGAGCCCCACGACGAAGGCTGCAACGCTGAGAGTACCACTCACGCAGCTGCTGTGAAGAAGGAGCGCCAGCAGGCGCAGCACGGCTCAGTCTCAAAGCCCCCAACCTCAGTCCCTCGAGGCACAACACCCCCAGTCGCAGCACCTCCAGGCTCAGCACCTACAGTCTCCGCACCCCCAGACTCAGCACCCCTAGTCTCCGTACCCTCAGACTCAGCACCCCCAGTCTCCGCACCCGCAGTCTCAGCACCCCCAGGCACAGCACGCTCAGTACCTCGTTTAGGACCAGAGTCAACAGCTACCTCGATAGGCTCGACTGGGTCTACCTGGGAAACACATGAGGAAGCAGCACCCTGGGGAGGCAGGGGGTCTACCGAAGCAACACCTGGCATGAGAAAGAGCGGCGGAGGGGGGAGCGGGGCAGTGCGGTAGGGAAAGAGACGGTAAAAGGGTACCGACTCGTCAATGGTGACGTCCTGAGAGGCGAAGACCCGGCGCGAAGTGGGGTGGTAAAACTGCCAACCAGGCGCGTCAGGGACAAAGCCACGGAAGACATAGGGAACGGCACGGGAGGAGAGTTTGTCCGCGGACGTATCGCGGACAAAGGCTCGACATCCCCAGACTCGGAACACCGACGCATCGCCAACCTTCCCCGTCCAATGCAGGGTAGGCGAGGTCTCCGGAACAGAGACACGGGGCCAGAGGTTGAGCTGATGCGCGGCGTACTACACGGCA